AAAAATATTTAGTCATTTTTATTGTTTTATACATTTAAGTTATTGCTACAGTTTTTTTCATTATAGTTGTATTAATATTTTTCTCAAAGATTTTTAAGAGTATGTATGTCATTTTAATTATTTTTATTTCTTAACGCTTTGTTGGGTTAAAAAGAAAAGTAAAAAAGAAAAAAAAACAGTAGGGTGAAAAAAAATTATGCGAATAGAGAATTAATAAATTTATGTGTGTTAAAGACCAAAATTTTCTCATTTTCTTACCAATTTTAATCCATATAACGGTGTTTATTGTAGTAATTATTAGCATATTTGAGTTTATGACTGAATTTAAATTTTTTTGCTTTTTTAACTTTAGCTGTCTGGAACCTAACGACAACGTTCTGATTAGATTAAACTTTAGACATGTCTGCGTGGATCCAACGTGGATCTCAAAAAAAATATAATTTATATTTACATGTATTTCTAAAATATTTGTTTTATTTAATATATATTTTTATATCAAATAAAAAGTAAATATGAAATTTAAAAAGGTGAATATTCAAACCAGTTCTTGAATCGAGTTTTTACCGTTATGCACTAATATAATATGATTATATAATGTTGAACATAAAAGAAAAAAGTAAAATAACATTAACAGTTAAATATCGCTATTACTTTAACAAAAAAAATATTACAGTACATGTTTAGTGATGGTTCAAAACGGTCAAAAAGTTTAAACGATTTTTAAATTTAATGGTAAAAAGACAAAAATTGCAACATTTTAAAAATAAAATAAAAGATGAGGTGAAAAAAAAGCAGGATTAATTTTTTATTAAATAAAAAGGACTGTAGTAAACTCAAATCTAATATTAAATATTACTTAAATGCATACATTAATATTATTTAATAGATAATTGTATAAATGTAATATTAATATGATAAATTAGTGGTGAATATATATATTTCGTGTATATTTAAATTCTTGATTTTGTTAAAATTATTATTAAGTATTTAAAAAGAATTAGTTTGTTTCCTTACTTTTATACATTTGAATTTGTTGATTGTTGTTTTATACATTTGTGTGTAGTTATTGAGAGTATACAAATATACAATTTGATTTAAAAAATAAATTGTCTCTATATCTTATGTCCTGTTTGAATTCGAGAGTAGATTTGAGAAAGTGAAAAAAAAAAGGAAAAAGAATAAAAAATGTTGAGAAATAAATAGAATATGATATAATTTAATATAAAATATAAAAATAATTTTACATATTTTTTACTAATATTTAAAAAAATGAATTAAAAAATAGAGGCGAAAAATAAAAAGAAACAAGAGGAAAATTTATAATTAATTTAATTTATTTGAAATAATAAAAAATATATAAATAAAATAATTTATTAAAAAATTCTTATTTCAAATTGAACAAAATTAAAATAAACTATTTTATAAAAATCATTAATTCAAAGTAATTAATTTTAAAAATTTTAAATTTTAAAAAAATTAAATTATTAATTATAAATTATGTATAAAAATTATTTTAAGTACTAATTAAAAAAATTAAAATATAATAAAAAGATTTATAATAAAAAATAAAATCAATAACATTATAAAAAAATATTTATATTCAAATATAATTTAATTTTATTATAATAAAAAAATTATAAAACCATGTATATATATATATATATATATATATATATATATATATATCAAATCTTAATTTTTTTATATATATATAATAATAATATTTTTAATGTAATCAATGTATATAATCGATTATTTATATTTTATAATCAATTATACACATTCATTTATTCGATTAAATGTTTTTCAAAAACTTTACTATCCTGATATAATTTAATTATAATAAAATAATAATTGATTGACAGATGATTTTATATATATATATATATATATATATATATATATATTAGTATTATTACTATTTATATATTTATTATTATAAATATTATTATTTAAAATATTAAATTATATAAACTATTTTATAAGATAATTATAATATTCCATTTATTTTATAAAAATATAATTTAAAAAAGGCAGTATAATTTTTAAAAAAATCAAATAATATAAATAAATTATTAATCTTATTTATTATCTTAACATAATATTAACCTGAAAAAAAAACATAATTTATTAAAAATATTATTAGTTGATATTGTTTCAGAAAATTAAAAAACAAAAAATCATTAGATTTAGTATATATCATGTAATTTATTATATACCCTCGATTAATCAATTTATAAAAACATAAATAAATCACTTTACTTCATGCCTCTTATCTTTTTCTCCGTTTCTCCACAAATTAGAAGGTTATATGTATTTGATCTCATTGTTATTTTCTCATAAACTAGTTCAATTTTATATATACAAACACAATTAATCAATATATATATGCACACTCATTTCTCAATTAAATGTAAATATGTAAAAACAAACAAGGCTTAAGATTTTATATCGATAAATAGTATTATTTGATGCTAAATACATACATTAAATAAATACATGTTGTTAGACAAATGTCATATAGAGGGGTGAATAGATGCACAAATTAAAATAGATGTCAAATTAAAAATTTATTTGTGAGTCAATAATTTGTTTAAACATAAATAAAACGGAAGCGATAATATAATAAGGAAAAGAGAAAGAGATAAGGGAAAAAGAATAGTTCGGGTATAGTCAACCCTACATCCAGTTCACAGTCAACTCTTAGCACAAGAGTGACTCCCAATTCACTATCTTTCAAATTCAGTTTACAAATTACAATCAACTCAGCAGAAGAACCAGCAAAAAGTAAACTAATTAAAAAGACAATCACCTCCTTAGAATCCCACTAGGGATGAACACCTCCTCTGAATAAATCAAAGAATAAAAAAACACCTCCTTAGAGTCACACTAAAGATGAACACCTCCCTATAATCATACTAGAGATGAAAACCTCCTTTGAACAAATCAAAGGATGAAAACACCTCCTTAGAATCTCACTAAGGATGAACACCTCCCTAGAATCACACTAGGGATGAAAAACACCTCCTTTGCCACCAATACATAAAGGATGAAGGTAATAAAAATAAGAACAGTCACACTTGGGTAATGGAGACAACAAATTGTAGAAACCTGTAGAATGTCAATCTCCAAGAACAAGTGTGATTAACAATGAGAGCACAGAAGGCAGTAGAGAAAAGGGTTTTCTCAGAAGGTGTAAAATATTTCTATTATCTTGCTCAGAATTCTTTTCTCAAAACTGATTGAATGTAAATTGTATTTTCAAATTCCGTAATTGTGTGTTTTTTATTTTTCATCAAAACTTAATTAAATAGAGAAATAACATCAGAAAATGGTCATTGGACATTAATATTTTCATGAATAAAAACCAGGATATATTCAAAAACATTTATTCTTCAAAACAGATATATTTTTCAATTTTGAATTGCTATAATTGATTATGTTACCAGTATAATCAATTATGACAGAGAAAATTATTTTTTCATTTTTGATGCATCATAATTGATTATGACAGTGAAAAAATATCATATCACACCTGTGCTTTACTTTGGAGGCTTATGTATGATATTACTTCATCAACATGTACCTCCATATCCAGTATTCTAAAACTCTATCTAGTTTTCAGGAATCATCTTGGGCTTGCTTGAATTATCATCTTTATCAAAAACATATCTTGGGCATATAGGGAAATGTTTTTCATTGTCACCAACGTTTTAAATTCAGCTTATCCTTAATTCATCTTGAATGATATTGACTTGAATCATCATCAAAATCATCTCTTGAGAATGTAGGGACATTTCTATCACATGTTTCTAATATCAATTTATTTTTTATATTAATTACATAATAACTTTAAAAAATATAATAAATATTATTATTTAATATTTATGTAAAATATATATTAATAAAGTGTAAATCAAATTAATTATATTTTATGTTTAATGAATATAATAAATAATATTACTCAGTAATTATATAACATATTACATTTATAACATCAAACAAATACACCCATTAAATAATTGCATATTATAAATTAACTTTATTATTCACAAAATAACATTTTTATATCATTATCATTTTCATATAATTATATAATTTTTATTTTGGATGTTTAGAAAGTTAGAGACTAAAGTAAATTTAATATTTTATCGGAAATTAATAGGACATGTAATTGTAAAAACGACCAAGATAGCTATTTAACAATTAAGACAACGAAGAGTATTATTTATATAATATCTCTTTATTTTCTAGATTGGATATAGTATTATGTTTAAATTTTATATTTTATTCAAATTATCGTAATTAATAATAAATATTCTCATGATGCATATTTACAAATACATAGAAAGAAAAATATATTATAAAAATTGTGAGTAAAGAGTTTGATAATTTATATATGAATTCTCAGTTGATATTATATAACTTTTGATACACAAGAGTTATTTTTTTATTATTTATATTTTAATTTATATTTATGATAATATTGTTAAAGTTAATTTTTATTTATTTTTAAATTTGTTTTATAATTTTATTTTTAAAAAATATATGATAAATTTAAATATATATATATATATATATATATATATATATATATATAAAGTAATATTGAGATTGACGTGAAACTTGTAAATTAACATTAATTTCAATTTTTAAACCACGTGGAACTCGTGAAGAGATCGAAACCATTACTATTTATTTAGTTTTTTCGTAGTTAACTAGGGTTAAAATATCTCCCCCCATGACCGCGCTAAATATGTATATAATACTAAAAAACTTATATACATATAAGCATTATTTTTTAACTAGATAATAAATACCATTGAGTTTTGTCTTTTTATTAATTATATGTTTTATAAATCTATCCTTTTACCATTTTTATGTTTTTAGATTAAATTTGGTGTGGTCAGATCCAAAACACGACAAAACATGTAAGAGGATGAAAACAGGGGAAAAAAATTACACAGCCAAGTCAGTACTGAGGTTGGTCTTTGAAGCTCATGGCAGAAGGATGTACACTCTATATATTAAGACAGATAGGATCAAAGAGTGTCAGCGCCAACTCCCTCACATTTTCCAGCCATCGAGAGAGAGTATCAGAAATGGAAGATTCCCAGTTTGACGTCATAATCGTCGGAGCTGGCGTCATGGGCAGCGCCACCGCCTACAACGCTGCCAAACGCGGTCTTAGGACGCTTCTCCTCGAACAATTCGACTTCCTCCATCACCGTGCTTCCTCCCACGGCGAATCCCGCACAATACGTGTCACCTACCCCCAAAAATACTACTATCCTCTGGTCATGGAATCTTACAAGCTCTGGCAAGAGGCCCAGGACCAAGTAGGCTACCAGGTCTACTTCAAGGCCCCGCACTTGGACATGGCCCCGTCGGACGAACAACCCACAATCCGCGCCGTCGTGGACTACTGCCAGACCCACGCCATCCCCTTCCAACTCCTCCGCCGTCGCCAGCTCGCCGAGAAATTCGCCGGTAGCATCGACATCCCCAAGGGTTGGGTGGGTGTCTCCAACGAGTACGGCGGCATCCTCAAGCCCACCAAAGCCGTCGCCATGTTCCAGACACTCGCCTTCAAAAACGGCGCCGTCATGTTGGACAACGCCAAGGTGGTGGACATCAAGAAAACCAGAGGGGATGAGGGTGTGGAAGTTTTCACCGCCAGCGGTAAAAAATTCCGCGGTAAAAAGTGCGTGGTAACTGTGGGCGCGTGGGCGACGAGGTTAGTTAAAACGGTTAGCGGCATTGAACTCCCGATAGTGCCCTTGGAGACGCACGTTTGTTACTGGAGGATTAAGGAGGGGCAGGAAGGGAAATTCGCTTTAGGGACTGGGTTCCCTACGTTTGCGTGCTTCGGCGACCCCTACATCTACGGAACGCCAACGTTGGAGTTTCCGGGGCTGATTAAGGTGGGGGTGCACGGAGGGAACCCGTGCGACCCAGATAAGAGGCCGTGGGGCCCGGCGGTGTGGATGGAGGAGTTGAAAAAATGGGTGGAGGAGAGGTTCATGGGCATGGTTGATTCGAGTGAGCCTGTGATAAAACAGTCTTGCATGTACTCCATGACACCGGACGAGGATTTCGTTATCGATTTCTTGGGTGGAGAGTTCGGCAAGGATGTGGTTATTGGAGGCGGGTTTTCAGGTCACGGGTTCAAGATGGCTCCGGTTATTGGGAGGATATTGACGGAGCTCGCGGCGGATGGGGAGGCCAAAGGGGTTGATCTCAAATACTTTAGAATTGGAAGGTTCAAGATACCCTCCAAGATTTAGGTATCTTGGTTAATTATCTATCTCTCACATCACATTTCGCTTTATCAATTTGTGTTTCATTGTTTGTTTGTTTTTCCCTGTTTTCTCCTGTTTCTGTCGTGTGAGTTCAGGTTTGCTGATGTTTTCTACATCAAATTAAATTAAATTCGCAATATAGTTTGACATGAAACATGTACATATATTTGGTTAAAAAAGTGAAAAGGTTCATTATATTAACGATGTTATTAAAGTATACGAATAATAAAAAGAAAAAAAAAAGTTATTTTTTCTGTTATCCTAAGAAATGTGTGCAGAGGTGTACTACGGAAAAATATAGTATATTCCAAGCACAAGACAGGCTGTGTATGACATGAAACACTGCAATGGCATTAAGCCATGTCTTTTTTTTTTTTATTACATATAAAATTTGTGACCATTGTGAAATGAGTTACATCCGTTTGTACGAAGCAATAATTTAAGTGATAGAGAAGAAAAATTTGAGTTGAATTTACAGATTTGGGCCCGCACACATCAGCCTCAACAAGGTGGGCCTCATGCAGTATCATTGATTTATCTTCCATCATAATCAATTACTATGAATTTTATATTCTAATAATAAATTATTTTTTAATTCGGCCTAATTAAAAATCAACTTTTTATGTAGTTTTAAATTATGCATGGATCATATGATGAATCCAATGACACCACACCATTGACTTCAACGTGTTTTTTATGTCTGTGCCAACGGTAAATAAATACTATGTCGTTTTACCTAGAAATGCGGATTAGTGAAGACAATTATAATCTTTTTAACATTCATAGTTTTATTCATTGATTAATGTTTTTCAAATATTAGACCTCCTAAGTGTACGGTAAGTATAGTAAATACATCTTCATCACATGTATATTTAAAATTATATACATTATCTTCATTATAGAGTCGAGATCTATTAAAGTATTACAGATACAAAATATGTGTAGGATAAGATATATGTACTTAATAATTATCTAACTTAATACATCCTATTAAAAAATACAAGTTGGGATTAAAAAAATGTAAACAGAATATAAATTATTATAAGTATTTAACACTAATTCGTTGTCCTCTTACATTGCATTTATTTGCATGTTTTAAGTTACGATAATAACCCATGCTTTAACATTTTCTTGTGTTCTGATTTTGGTATCTGAACATTATATAGGTTCAAAGTAATCAAGTGAAGCATCGCATTCTAAGAAAATATATGCATTTCAAATCAAAGTGATAAGTTGTTAATATATTTTAGACTATGACATTGCTACAGTTAAAGTAAAATACTTCAAAATTTATAACTTAAAAACAATATCACTATAAAAGGTAAATTAGGAAATTAATATATTCTTTTATTATTAATATATATATATATATATATATATATATATATATATATAATATTAAAATGAGATATCACAAAATAAGCTTGTCAAATTAGTGAAAATGGCGATACAATAAGTAATTTTAGTCGGTTAAACTAATTAAAATAAAAAATTATAATTAAAAATATTATAATTATATATGTTATATGATTAAAATATATAAATATATTATAATATATAATTTAAATTATAAATATTAATTAAATTTAAATTATTAATTATAATGAATTATTTTAATATATAAATTAATTTATTTAATAAAATATTAATTAATAAATTAAAATTTATTCATATAATTAAAATATATATTTTTAAAAATATATATAAAAAAAATATTAACACAGTAACTTGAATGTATAATCTATCTTCGTTATGCTCGACCTCCTCCCATTTTATTTTTTATAAGAAAATAAAATTATTAAATAATATAAATATTTATTTATATTTTAAAATCTTAAATTAAATAACACGATGCTTTTATATAAAAAAAATGAATTCATTTATACCGGTGAATATTTCTCAGAATATATTCCTTTAAATATCTTAAAAGTGTTTATAAACCAGCGTCAAAAATCTATCATGAGATTATATACGAGGTTTTGAATTAAATGAATTTTTCTAATGCCCGAGTGATTTAAAAATCTTCTAAACGAATATTCAACGAAGCCATCATTGTCCAATGTATTTTTCTGACATGATTAAGCATTCCATTAAACCTAAAGTGTCATAGCAGCAACATATATAATATTTGTCTATATTGATGATGAAAAAATTGACAATACCTAGATGTTAAGATATTTTTTAACCAGGTTACGTACCATATTCAAAGTCTAGTTTTGAAAATTATCTGGCCAAGACATAAAAAGTCACATAAAACACGACAAATCCAACACCTGTTGCTTGTTTCAGAAGTTCCTAAAACATATGTATCTTATTGTATGTCTAGGTTACATCTTTTTCTTGGGCTTGTTCTTAAGTTAGCCTCAAATACTTCAAAATCATGCTCTCTCTTTTTACTTTCTTCTATGTTGTCTAAGCTTGTGCTTCTTCATTTTCAGAGGCCCAAATAATTTTTTTATGGACTATTATCATGTCATTTAAGATTTGTTTGATACATTGTAGGAATGATGCAAAAAAAAAAAATTTAACTTTCCTTATCTACTTGCCACAATAACTGCGAATCTCTTGGGTCATTCTTTCCTGTTTTTCAAAACTTAGCAAGTATGATATTTTACATAGTTACTAGAATATTTAAACTCATAATTTAACAGAGTCTTTCAAAATAAAGTTGAAGTTAAAGATTGTATATAAGTAATTTAATAGAACGTAACTAATGAGACAAATGGGAATATTGAAGACAGAAATATAGAATAAACTAAGATACAAAAGAATATAAAATATTCAATAAAAGTTGTTATATAAATTTTGCATACACAATAATAATAATAATAATAATAATAATAATAATAATAATAATAATAATAATAATAATAATAATAATAAGACATGGCCAATATGATTCATTTATTTTTATTTTTTTACAACAATAAGAATATTTTCTTTACAAAAAATTATAAATTGAATATATAAAAGAATATTGTTTTAAGAATTGGAACGCTCAACCCTTTTAACAGAAATTGGTATATAGTTAAATCAAAATAAAACAAAAAAATGGTACAAATTCAAGAAAATTGACTGCATTACAATTCAAGTTAAATCGATTTTGATAAAATAAAATTTAAAAATTAAATATTTATTTTAATATAAATTTTTATTAAAGATATATTTTATTTTATTTTTTTTATCTAAGTTAATTATATTAACTTTAATATATAATTATTTTATTATTTAATTGTCCATCTTATATTCCTTAATACATTTTATATTTATAATAGTCATTATAATTTGATGAATCTTAAACTTTTTAATATATTAGTAATCTTTATTATTTTTTTAATATTATTATTAACAATTTTATTATATATTTAATATCCTATAAAAATATTATTTTATTAAATCTGATTAAATTTTTTTAACCTATAATAAATTATGACTCATGTACCAAAAAATTGAGTTACCCATTTATTTAAAAAAAAATTCAAACAATCAATTTTTATCATCCTAAAAGCTAGTTCAAGAGGATGAAAAACCTCCCACCTTAACCTTATAAGGTCTCTCTGGTAAGGAGATTGTCTCAATGTGGGGTTTGTTACAAGTCTATCTCTTTCGAAAGGCAGCGTCCTGGATAGCCGAAGACTAAGGAAGGAACCATCCCCTAAAAACTAACTCTAAAAGGTTGGAGAACCACCCATTTTATAAGGTCTCCTTGGTAAAAAGACATCCCCAATATAGAACTTATTACCATTTTTATCCTCAAATTTAAATTAAAGGAAAGGTAAAACTATGTTTTTGAGAAATTAATGACCTAACCAATTAGGTCATAATATATAAGCTAAAATCGTTAAAGAAGCATATATTAAAATATATAATTGATTAATTTTGTTGGGAGCCCTTGAGAGTGTATTGAAGACATCGTCGATGATAAACAAATAATTTAACTACTCTTAATCAACTCCATTTGTTTAACCTAAAAGTTGTATTCACGCAAGACTTCACCAAATTCATGATTTTAAAAGAATGGATGTGGGAATCTTTTATCATGGTGTTGCAACTTGCAAATTGCAGAAAGTCCAATTATTATTTCCTAATGCTTATTTAATAATCATTTAGGTCAAAATCTGAATTATATATACTTTTATGTTGACGGTGCACAAAACATTTGCACAATGGGATGCTCCATTGATTAGTGAAATATATAAATAACAAACACGAGTTAGACTTCGTGCTTAAGATTCTAATCATGATTTTAATAATGTCGCAAACATCATAGGATAACTAAGAAATGGCGTTAAAATATAAGGGGTCCTATCCAACACTAGAGAGAATGAGAAAATTGTTTTATTTGCAACATTATATGCAACTAGGAATCAAATCCTCCAACATATCCTTCTACAATGTATTTTAGTGTCGTTAATTAATCCAATAACCTAAAAGAAAAACACCCTATCTCGTTATTATTCTATACTAAATGATGCTATAGATCATAAGGGCTTATTGAAAACGATTTGCAAGATTTATTCTTTTGTATATAGGAATTCTTATAAATAAATAAATAAAAGTATTTATATTTAAATAAATTTTAAATTAAAGTAATAATACGTTCTTTTTTGGCTGGCTATTTTTTATTCCTTTTTATCTAGAGCATTTATTAAAAAAATATTTGGGCACGGAAATTTTCTATTTTATATGATCACATATTATTTTATAAACCAATGTATATCAACTATTCAGTGTTTTTTTTTTTTTTGACGATTTGTACAACTCGTTAAAGATGTTTTGTATTTGATCAACGTAGATATTCGTGCTCTATAATTTCAGATTATTCTTATTCTGATTTTCAGTATAAGAACAAAAGATTAGTCTTTTAGCCATATTTTTAATTGAAAACATTCTTATCCTGTCGTCTAACAATTCTGCAGACGATACTTTTTCTTTTTTTCCTTTTTCAACCACATAAAACCACGTGGATGAAGGAATATTTTTTTTTTTTATGTGTTAAACTAATACATTACAGTGGTTGTGTACAAGTTCTATTGAACCTCCATCGCTCATATATATTATATATTCATTTACAGTGATTAAGTGTCAAGAATATACATAAGATTAATTTATTTTAAGAATAAGGGTTTAAGAGTTAATTTTTATATATGATTCTTAAACAAAGTATTGCAACGAAAATTATTTGTGAATTTGAAAAGAATACCGTGGCATACATAATCTATTAACAAAACAGGGAACTAAAAATAACTAACTGTTTTTATATATGTATAAAATAAGATAACTAGAATGTTATGGTTTTGAGAATATTAAATTCTCCTAAGTTTAGTAATATTCATTTACCTAGTTCAAGTTTCCAACATCGATCCTTTTCAGGTTTCAATCCAGCGGAACATTCAAATATTCAATCACACCGCATAAAATTACGAAAATTGTCAATTATAATTTTATAAAATTTGACCCCAAAAGTATTAAAAATCACCTCCCAACAAACATTACAACGGTGGCAGGAAGAACTTGGTTAGTCTCATTGTTATATGTTTGATTTCTTTATTTTATTGTTTATATATATTGTTAATTTTTGAAAATATATAATAAATAAAAGAGTGTACCTTAATATATTCCTGCATAAGAATATAATGTTGAATTTATTTATTTATTTTCCTTACCCGGTCATGTTCTCGCCGTTATATCTTCCCCTTCCTCTTCAATTCCCCTACTTTTTCCTCTTCTGCTCTGTCTCTCAACACAACAAAACCAGACTTTCTCTTTCTCTTCTTCTTCTTATTCTTCTTCCATGGCATTCTGATTTAGACCCACACAAATAGAAGCTCAACAGAACACAGCACTTCGTTTTATCATCGAAAGTATAAGCGAAAATGGCAGTGGAGTTGATGAGATTCCCCAAAATGGATGAACAGAAGGCAATTCAAGAAGCAGCCTCGGAGGGCCTCAAGGGAATGGAAAACCTCATCCATCTCCTCTCCCACCAACCCTCCCATCTCAACACTCACGACACCGATGCAACTGTTTCAAACTTCAAGAAACTCATCTCCTTACTCAACCGCACCGGCCACGCCCGTTTCCGCCGCGCACCACTTCCTTCAAACACCCAACCCACTCCACCGGCTAACCCGGTCACTCTCCACCAACCTCCCTCCACTTTCGCCCCCACGCACTCTCACACTCTCACTCTCGATTTCACCAAACCCAACATCCTCGCCTCCACCAACGCCAAATCCATGGATCTCGAATTCTCCAAGGAAACCTTCAGCGTCTCCTCCAACTCCTCCTTCATCTCCTCTGCCATCACCGCCGACGGCAGCGTCTCCAACGGCAACCAAGGCTCCTCTCTCTTCCTCACCCCGCCTCCGCGGTCGTCTTCAGCCGGAAAACCGCCTCTCGTGAAGAAGAGATGCCACGACCACTCCGACGACGTCTCCGGTAAACTCTCCGGGTCCACCAAGTGCCACTGCAGCAAAAGAAGGTAAACCCGCGTCGCACCTTGGAAGAATAACCGTATTCGAAAAAATGATCGATTGACTCGGGACAAGGACTCGGTCCGAGTCTGCGTTCTGTAGTCAACGATTTCGGTAGTAGTGCAGTTAAAGGCATTGAATGGATACAGTCACAAGGCACGCGTGACAGTGACACCAAAGAGTTTTTTCCTCTGACTTTTTGTCCTCTACCGCGTTTGTCAATCCACGGTTTTTTAGAAATCATATCTCACAATAAAGACAACGAAATAGAACTTCCCAAACTCAACCCGTCCCCACTTTCTCTCACGTTAACTACCGTTAATTATTACCACCCTTTGAATGTTGACTAATTATTCCACTTCGCGCATGTTAGCAACAGCCGCGCATCCTATCAATTTTTATTTTTCATTTTAATTAAATTATTCAAATGATTTATGTTTGTTTGTTCAGGAAGAATCGTGTGAAGAAGACGGTGAGAGTGCCGGCGATTAGTTCGAAAATCGCCGATATTCCGTCGGACGAGTATTCGTGGAGGAAGTACGGGCAGAAGCCGATCAAGGGATCACCGTACCCGAGGCGAGTGATGTGTGATTTGTGGCCGTGGATTTCGGTTGACTTTGGTCAAGATTTGTCCACTGACGTTGATTTTATTTTTTTGTTTTGTCAGAGGATATTACAAGTGCAGTTCGGTTAGAGGGTGTCCTGCGAGGAAACACGTGGAGCGTGCCTCGGACGATCCCACGATGTTGATTGTGACGTACGAGGGGGAGCACCGTCACTCGATTCAGACCGCGATGCAGGAGAACATTTCCGGGGCCTTGGCTTTGGCATTCGAGTCAACCTAGGGTTGAATTAAAGTGTTTTTTTTTTTTGTTAGTAGGAGAAAAAAAAAGAGAAGGAATTAAGGTGGGGGGGTGCAATGTAAATCTATAAGTAAAATATTTGAGTAACAATTTTTGTATTAAACAAGGGTGTATCAGATAAATTCTTATTTACGAATCAGATTACAAACTTTTTCAAGTATGAATGTTATAAAATAATTGTAAAGTTATTAACGTGTTCCTTTGATATTCCTCTCGTGATGGCTACGCTACTTGCGTAATTGTGTATTCCAGAAGCACTACCAACAATAAAGATGACTTAAACTTGGCCTCAACGTTTATAAAATTCCACCTGATATTCTTGACCTACACACAAACACGCGTGTGAAATTTTCAAAACGAAGTTTAGTTTTGAGTCAATGTATGGCTATTATGTTTCCAGCATATTCAGGAACCAACCACTATTCTATTCAATTATTCTCCTCGCACCATATTCTCAAACATATTTTATTAATTTATCCACGACTTTGGAAGACTTGTAATATAACGTTGTAGTACAAGAAAAGAAAAATAGTCTTCGTCTCGTTCGAGACAAATATCATATTTCAATATTATTCAACTATACAATTTTAAAACATTTTTTTATGCAGTAGATTTTTCAAACATTTTATGTGTCAATGGGTTTTATCTTTTGTGCGTGAAATTTGGAATTGAGTTCTACCATTTATAATTTCATTATAGGTTCGTGAATTTCCTGATATTTATAAGTTTCCGGTTATTAACAAATTAATCTTCTTCACACCAATTTCAACTACGTACTTAGAAAGGGAAAGAGAAAAAAGAAGAAGAAAAGAGTGTAGATATATCTTATGATGTGTGGCATCTACAATTTGTTCGGGCCTCACATATAGATAAATCCTGAATAATGGGCCTATTTAGCAAAACCAATAATTTTTCTTCTAAAGTGTTTCCTGATGCATACACGGTGGCTCGGGAAAATGGGTGGTTTTCATTTCATTGAATACATAAACACAATAGTTTTATTTTAATATACTATTTTTCTTATTAATTAATTTTTTTCATCTTATTTATAAAAATTATGTTAGAGAGAATGTGGTAAACAATGGATTTCAAGTATCCTTTAAGGTGTAAAACTGAATACGAAATTTCACACTAAATAAGACAGATAAAATAATAATGAATAAACATTCATTTAGTTTCAAAAATATAATTCACCTACGTTTATAAAAATATAAATATTGAAAAGTGCTCGAAAAGTTGTAATTTTTATTTCATTTTAATTCCTTTACTTAACCAGTTGTTATCATTTTATATACTTAATACTGAGGGTTGAAGTGATACTAAACAGTAAAATTTATAAACTAAAGTGACAAAATTGAAGGATAAAATGATTTACATTTATTATATAAAAATTTCAATTAAATTTTTATTTCATTCCATATTTAAAATTTTAATTCGTTATAATTTTATTTTTAAAAGATAGATTAAAAAAAAGAAACATATATAAAAATTATATTATTTTTGAAACTTTTAATTTACACGAGAGTGAAGAGTATATTGAAATACTTTTACTCTAAAAAATTGAGCCGATAAAGTAATTGTTTACCGAGTAGATAAGAAAATTTAATATTCTAATATCTTGAATCAAACACGATATTAAATTGACTTGTAAGAATTGTTGGTAAAGATATTTTGAAGTACTAAGTAAGGAGGGTGTGACAGTTCTTTGAATGTAAACCAAGCAATCTGCAATCACAGAAAGAAGGACCACAATAGTTTAAATCTTTACCCAACCACAACCACAAGTTCAACTCTCTTTGTATCCAAACCAAACTCTTTCTTTATCCTTCTTTTGGATTGAAACCAAGAATAGTAATTGCATCAGGTAAGGATGGTGGAACATGCAAGGACTGAAAAACATGAATTATGGGTATTTTATCCCATTAATAAAGTCACTTTTGGACACAACAATATAAAATACAGATGAAAGTAAATAAAACCAAGAAATGCCAACATTATCCCAAAGCTAAACTTTGTGCCACACTGCCACTTCAACTCAATGTTTTGTCCTCATCATGTTTTCAGTACTTCAACTCAATACTTTTCTTTTGGGTAGTGGAGGCCCTACCATCGGCCATTGTTAGGTTTAGGGTTAGGGTTTCATTCACCTTCTCTCCATGACCTTTATGCATCTAAGTGGACGTTGAAACTGTTATTGTGTGATGGATCAAGTTTCCCTAAAAGCTTCATAACCTATTTATTCATCATGTAAGTTAGGCATAGCCTTCCATTCGAATGATTGCTTTTCCTG